ACCAAGGAGATAATATTTGATAAAAATGTATTTTGCATTGTGATGACGGCTAGAGGGAGAGGAGACAGGGAGGGGCCTTATTTGAGCCTATGTACCCAAAAATCAAGTTCACTAATGAGCTCCTTGTACACTGACTCTGGTTTCCTTAGCTGTAACTAACTCTCACCTGTCCCCCTGGTCCCTACCTCCCCCAGCATGGCCATTCACGAGACAATCTCTTGGGAACTCCTCCCAGCTGCCCTCTCCCCAGCTTCCTTAGGGCTCCCACGCTCTTCCATGAACTCACTCCCTGGTCACTGATTGGTCCAGAGGCAGGCACCTGACTGACCTGGGCCAATGACTCCCTCCCCTGTGTGTGTGTATGTGTGTTTAAAATAGGGGGGTCTTCATTAAGAGACTCAGAACAGTCTCTCGTTGGTGGTAGGATGTGTAAAATATAAAACTATTAGGAATAGGAACCATGTGTGAAAAAAATACATGTGTGAAATAAGCTTGTCTCTAGTGAGAGAAAATGAAGGGATTCGGCGCGAGGGGAGGCCAGAGAAGCAGTGAGAAACCCAAGAGGCCTGAGCCCTCTGTTCCAGTTGTTTCTGAAGCTGCATCCTTGCCCTGCTGCCGTTTGTCGAAGCTTGAAGCTCACCGCTCACCTTGGGTTCCGGAGCAATACAATTCCTTTTATGCTTAAGCTTGTTTGAATCCTGTTTCTCTCATGTGCAACCGAGATAACCCACTGCCTACTTCTTTTTTTTTTTTCTTTGAAGTCTCTCAGAGGCATCTACACAGAGCTTCATTTTTAACAACCTCCCACCTGCCCTCAGTTTAATTTCCTGTAGAAAACGCTGGCCATGACACCTGCACTTCTACAGCCCGGGACAGCTTTGCTGCCCTTTTTCTGTTCTGTGAGCTCTTCCTTGAGAAAGAAGGTTTGCACTCAAAGGCCCCTGGGAGATAAATGCTCTGTGCAATATTCCTATCTTGGAGGATTCATGATGTAGCATATTAAAGATGCCCTGTAATGAATAAATGCATTTAACTTGTCTAACCAGAGTTCCCCAGGTCTTTTTTATTCCTAGAACATGTAACATCCCAAACCCCTGACATTCCACGGGCATGTTGACTAAGTCCCCGAGCGACCGAGCCTGCTTCAGTGGCGTACTTCCAGGGCGCTCCCTGCACACGGATGTTTGGCGAGGGGACATCCTAGTGTGGGGCGCTGTCAGCCCTGAGGAAAGGACACCTTTGATCATTTTCATAGCCACCCTCTATTCCCTCAGCGTGAGCCCATTGGGCTGGGTCAACCCAAAGGGGGTGACTTTTCCTAATTCACTTAACGGTGCCCAAAGTCCTTTCGGTCAGTCAGAATTACACCAGAAGGGTGGCTCCCTCATTGCTTCCTTAAATTTCTGAGAGATGGAACTGTCCACAAGGCAAGGCAAGAATGAATCAGAGACTCTGCTTTGGGCAGAATGACATGTCCAAGGTGTTGAGGTGCTTTAGGACCCCTGTTCCAGCTATGAGACATTTACAATGTTCTTTGCCTCTGGGACAGTGTGACTGTCCCCCCGGAGATGGGTTGTCATTATCATGCTTCTGCTGCCTACGGTGTGCAGAGAGCTCTCATCTGATCCCTTCGGCCGTCTTGTAAAAGTGACAGGTTTTACTTGTTTTATTGCCTCTGTTTTACAGGTGAGGTAACGGAGGCTCAGTCACATGTCCTCAGTCACCCAGACAGCAATGGAAGAGCTGGAGACTGGACCCAGGGTCTGTCTCTATAACGCTACTTCCCTGCCCTACTGTACTGCTTCTGTCGTAGCTGTATGTGGCCACTCCATAGACACATTTCAATGAATTTCCAGAGCACACCTCTCGTTCTTCAGCAGGTGCGTAGGTCTCCCTCCCACCCACATGGAGCTCACCCCTCGTGGGCCCAGGAAACCAGCAGCGTTGGGTGGCCAGCCTCGTCGAGGGGCAGCTCAGTGTTCAGCGACTTCTCAGCCCAGGGGAAGGCACAGCGGAGGCACTGAATGTAAGGATTCAGGAGGCCTGGCTTTGTGGCTCTGGCGGGGTAGGTGCAGGGCAGTCACTAACTTCAGCCTCCTTCCCCGGCCACTGGGGACACGGAGCTCTTCCTTCCACTCAAGGTTGTGGTGAGGGGAAAGCCAGGGACGAGGAACATCTCGGCTGCCCAGGAATGGGGGAGGAAGCCGCAAAAACAAAAATCCAAGAAGCAGTCTGACACTGTGTAGTCCGATAGGGTAGCCGTAAGCCCTCTGTGGCAATTAAAAGTTACTAAAAGGGAAATGTTATGAAAAATCAGCCCCCCATTCTCACTGGCCATACTTACAATGCCCAGTAGTGCCTATGGTACTGGACAGACAGAGGCCATTTTCATTGCTGCAGAAGGTTTTACTGGACAGTGCCGATCAGTTTCTTCTCTAATTGGTTTCTTCTGGCCCCCATCCTTGCTTTAATGATCTCTCCCCTTCTTCACGTAGCCTCAGTGGAAACGGTGTAAGTGAAAATCCGGTCTGTCACGTAGGGAGACCTGCTGCAGAGGGGAATGGCGTTCTATGGATTCTGTGGGCAAGTCTGGTTTCCTGAGGAGATGAGAAGCTCCTGAGAGGTGGGGTCTTTGTTTCCTGTCCTCTGCAACCCTGACAAACCCTTGCATGATGTCAGGCACTTTGCAGGCCTTCAGTCACCACTACAAATTGTCCTCAGTTGGTATTGCTCATGGTTCACCGGGCTGACGGGCAGTCAAGAAGCTTGGGTCAGCATAGTCCTTGCTTGGCCATAGCCCTTGCGTGGCTTCCAGGATGTCCGTGCTTTTGGCCTGGCTTCAGCTCTCCCTCCTCAGGGGATTGAGGGACGTTATCTGGAACAGATGATCTCAAAGGTTCTTTCCTGCTTTGCCCAGCTATGGCTTCAGGAGGCAGAACGCAGCTTCCCTGGGGTGGACCCAAGGGTTGGAGCCTCTTCTGTCAGCGGCTGGTGCAGAGACCCAAGACCAGACCCCACAGGACTTGTGCCATGTGAAGATGTCTGAATGGTGGTGTCTAGTATTACGAGTGTGAGAATGTGGTGTGCAAGTAGGACAGTGTGTGTGTGTGTGTGTGTCTAGACATGTGCCTTTGCTCTTCAATCAAGGTGGCAGGGGAGGGAAAGCCAACACTACCATGGAAGGGCATCATTAACTTCTCGTCGGGCTTTGGGGGTGGGGTCTCCAGGACTCATGTTTATTTCCTCATTGCTCTCCATTCCCACAGGTGGTTCATAAGTAAATAGGTTCTGGTGTTTACAAGGCAGGGTCACTCTCTGGAACAAGATCCAGCTCCCAGGACGCAGGGTTATCTACAGGCCCCTGTGGTCATGGTCACAGGGCACAAGCTGGCCTCCAGGAGGTCTTGGGGGACCAGGCTCTGCTGGCCAGCATTCAGGGCTGCCAGAGCCTGGTGGTAACCCACACTTCCATCCATGTGCCGAAGGGGAGGGGCACCCGACTTAGAACAGTAGGTGGGATCCGCTAAGTGTTTCCTTAGTAGCAAGCAGCAGATGGGGTTCGGAGGGCCTGGGGTGTGAGGTGAGCTGCCAGAAGGCATTACTGGAAGGACAAGTGTGGTGAAGGAGCAGGAGAACTAACTCTAAGATGAGGCAAGTGTCTGCACTCCCCTCTCTTCCACGGTGACAGGAGGGAGGAAGTGGTGGCGGGAGAGAGCCTGGAGTTTGCAGCCAGTCAACCCGGGGGTAGAAACTTTGCTGCCAGAGAAGCCCGGAGGGCCTGGGCGCGGGGAGGGCTGGGCCTCACAACTGGAAGGACTGGCTGCAGGGATCACAGGGCGGGGGCTGCAGGAAGTCGGGGCTGGGCTGCTTGGCCTCCATCGCTCCACACTCCCCCCTCCAGCTCCAACCTGAGGGCCCGAGGCCTCCCTCCCGCTGGAACCTTATCTCCCCCTCCACCCTCTCCCTTGAGGCCCCTCCTCAAGTCCATCTCTCGGCCCCTTCCCCACTCCTAATCGTTATGCCCCGAACACAGCAGTAGTCTTATTTGGGTCTCTTTTGCATCCATAGTCCCACTCTTGGGCACCTTTGTACTTTCTCCACTTGGTGGAATTCTAGAGGGGGCTGGCATCCCTGAGCTTTCTGGTTGCATCACTCCATCTCTGCTTCTGCCTTCACGTTGCCTTCTCCTCCGTCTGGCCTTCCCGCCCCCCTCTCGTGAGAACCCATCTGTATAATGCAGGGTCACCTCTGGACCCCCGTTCAAATGCCCCACGCACTGGGATGCTTTCTCCGAACCTTCCTGCCCCTACTCCCAGGTGGAGGTCACCGTCCCTCTACAGCACCGGGCACCTCGTGTGTCTTCTCCAGGTTGTGATCAAGGACTCAGTCTTTTTCACCTTAAGGTCCGTACTTTGGGATAATGAATCGTTTGTTGAATAAATAAATGAATAAATAAATTCAGGAAATAAGCTTTGAAACCTGTACACACCTGGGCCCCCAGGAGCTCACACAGGCGTGGTGCCGGCCCCCGAGTGTCTACCCTTTGGCTTCCCCACACTGCACAGCCCCTCCCCCTTCCTCCAGCAAGAGGAGCCTGCTTTCCTTGCCGCTGGGCCTTCCAGCTGGGTTGGGATAAGCAATATGGCTGGGAGAGGAAGGGGCTGGTCCATCCCTTCCTATTCTCCTGAAATCAGGCCAATAACTGCACACCCACACCTGCTGCTTCAAACCGTTCTCCATGGCTCCTCCCAGCCCCTCTCCTCACCCTAACTGCCTTTCCTTTCTGATACTCCCATCATCTGCCCCTCTCTCATCTAGCGAAATCCAAGGAAACTCATCCCAGGGCATGCCCAGGACACCCTTATCATTCGCTGGCATGCCACCAACCCCTTGGTTCTTCAAAGGGTGGGCCAAGACAGCCCACCTAAGACAAACCAGTCTTTCGAAGTCCTGCACCCCTCCGCCATCCCCCACTGCCCAGGTCCATGTGCCCAGCTCACCTGTCTCTCCCCAGATGGGCAGGTACTCATCTTGCTGAATGTCCAGCATGATCTCCAGCCCGTTGCCTGTCCCCCCCTTGACCGTGGTGAGCAGAGGTTTGCCATCCTCGCCTGAGTTAAACATGTAACACTTCCCATATTTTGTAAACACCTGAAGGAGAGAAGAGAGAGAGAGAGAGAGAAGGACATGGGTGACTTCGGACTGGGCTCCGGAGACGGATGAGACCCCCGAAATCCAACTACAAGCCAGAGTCCCCACAACCCATCACAATCAACCCCTCCTGGGGACCAATGACTCCTCACCCTGGCTAATGGCTTTTTGCACAGCAGGATTCTGGCATCAAAGAACAAATCTGGACACACTTTGGGGTTTTTTTTGCAATACGATCTGGTCTTTTCTCCCTCTGTATGCTCGCTCTGTCCATGTCCAAGGGTCAAACATTGTTAGTAAGCTCTTGACCCTCCAATCTGCACCTCTGGCCCTGAGGTCTTTCCTGGGCTCCAGACACACTGATCCCGTTGCCTAATAAGCATGACCTTAGGGGGCCCACAGACCAGACCGTAGACACTCAGCATGTCCCTGTGGGAGCAAGTCCTCCTCAGGCTTCCCACCTTCCAGGTGGTTCTCTCAAATTCCTGTCCCAGGAAACAGCATCACTCCCTGAGAAGGGGCTCAAGCCAGACCCTCAGAGTGGCGGTCCAGGCTTCCAGATGTGCTCGACCCCTCACAACGGATGTGTTACCCATGAAATTCTCTCTTCTGCTCATTATAGCAGTCCTCGGGGGGGCTAAGTTCGTTAGCCAAGTTCAGGGACTATATACAATAGTGATGATAAAGCCCAGTTCTTTGAAAAAGCATGTTCCAGCTGTTCCACCATGAAGTCCAAAGAGTGGGGCTTATCTGCTTTGAAATAGGGACTCAGAGGCATTTCATTTTGTATAGCGGAGAAAAATGCTTCTTCGTCACCCTCATGTCCAATTAACCAGCAAGGCCTGTCGACACTGCCTGTACAACCATCTTGCACTGTTCCTTTTGTTTTCTGCATGGCTATAGCTTAGGGCCCTACCCTTCTTTGCCTGGGCCGCTGCGCTTTCCTCGCTGGGTTCCTGGATTCCAGACACCCTTCTCTAGCCTGTCCTTTAAGTTAACTGTGGTTCGCTCTTTCTGACGTGCAAACCTGATCTTGTTTAAAATCCTGTGTTTAAAACCCACCAGGGCTCTTCATCCCCCTTAGGCTAAAACCCAGGTCCTCCATACCCAGCCTTCTGCAATGCTGCTTCTGCCATGCCTCCACCTACGGTTTCCCATCTGAGTCCTTGGAAATCCACTAGGAGGTAACCTTTGTGGGCTCAGGAACTACACCTGCTGAGGTATTTATCCCTACTGGCTAGCACAGTGCCTGGCACAGGGGGGTCCTCCAGAGAATATGTGTTGAATGAATGAATGAGTGAGTGAGTGGGTAGGTAGGTGGGGGGAGCCAGATCAAACACCTTACAGCATCCCCAGATGTGCCCTGCCGATTTACACACTTGTAGCTTTCTATTTGCTGCTTCTGCTGCCAGGAATCCTCTCCTTTCTCTTCCTGCCCTGACAACCTCTGGCTCTCTGCCTGGGCAACCTCTCGCTGTTCTCCAAGGCTGGACTGATGCACCGCCTCCTCCAGGACACGTTCCTGAGGCCCCGGATCAAGCTGGGTTTGCTGAACCCCCCTCCCGCCCCGTTCCTCTTATTCCTTCACCCTGGCAGCTATCACATGCTACTGAGTAGTTTTGTTCTACATCTTTCTTGAACTTGACTCTGCCATTCATTTCTGAATCCCAGCCCATAGTACCTTGCCTTGCACACAGTAGGTGCTCAGTCCACGTTTGCTTGATGAATGCACAATGACAAAGATACAGTGTGATGATGTGGGAAAAGTCCAGGGCAAGGAATCCAGAGACCTTTGTTCAAGTTCGATGCTGCCACTTATTAGCTGTGTGACTTAAGGTGAACTAAATAAACCCTCCAAGCCTCAATTTCCCCATCTATGACATGGCGGTTCTGGTCCTTGCCTTAGCTACTTTTCAAGGTTATTGAGAGGATCAACTGAGGTTATACATGCAAAAGTGCTTTGAAACTATAAAAGTTTTCTCCAAATGCTGTGGTTATTATGATTACATAACTGCTTTGGAACCTCGAGTGGAAGTCAAATTACAGCTGGCAAAATTGGCTGGAAGGGAGCCAGGCCAACTGTATTGGATCCCTGTAGCCACTGAAATCTGGGGCTGGGTTGCCTCCCTGACCACGCTCCACGGCACTGACCTTTCCTGACTGCGGAGCCCACACAGATGATCTCTAGCCCCCCAACTTTCAGTACGGGGCAGGTAAATAGCAGGCATGAGTGCTGGAGGCTGCCTTTCTCATGCTGATCTTGACGGCTGTATGTCAGGAAGTAAGAGTGGCCTCCACCACCGCCAGGCACTCTGCTGGATGCTTACCTATGCTGTCTCATTTAACTCTAGCAACTGTGATCCCGGGTGGCTAATGCTGCACCCATTGTAGAGATGAGGAAACCAAGGCCCAGAGAGGTTAAGTGACTTGTCTAAGAACACACATCTCTTAAGCAGAGAAGCTAGAATTCAAATCCATGTCTGTCTGATTCTAATGCACGTGCTCTTTCTGGGTGCGTTGTCCTGCTTCTTTGGCATCGGGATGTTTTTGAGCCATATGCTCTTCCTTTCTGCCTTGCTTTTTCTATCAGCCAATCAATATTCACACGCATATGCTCCTACTATGAGCAAGGGTTTGGGGATCTCAAAGAAGCACAAGCCCTACTCCCTGCCTTCAAAATCTACAGGAAGGGTCGGCAAAACAACAGATTGTGCATTTTTCTTCACTGTACAAAATGAAATGTCTCTGAGTCTCTGGCAGCCGAACTATTTCAAAGCAGATAAGCCCCACTCTTTGGGCTTCATGGTGGAACAGCTAGCTGGAACATGCCTTTTTAAAGGACTGGGCTTTATCATCACTATTGTATACAGTCCCTGAACTTGGCTAACGAACTTAGCCCCCCCGAGGACTGCTATAATGAGCAGAAAAGAGAATTTCATGGGTAACACATCCGTTGTGAGGGGTCGAGCACATCTGGAGTGACTTCCGGGGATGCTCCAATAGAGGGCTTTCTTTGTAGACCCACCAAATAACTTTTTTGGTTCCAAATTGTTTATAATATTAATTTTCTATCTATATAAAGAGATATATAAGTAAAAGTACTTTTTGGTTTAGCACCAGATCATTGCAAATTCTAGGCCTTCCCTCCCCCTCTCTTTGGCACTTGAACTTCAGAATACTGGGCTGGGACTAGAATATGCCGTCGACTCCTGGGGTCAGCTGTGATCCCAGCCCTGCCACAGCCATGCTGGGTGGCAGTGACGGAGCTGTTGACTCTCTCTGTGCTTCTGAGGGTGATGACGGTGTATGAGAACTCAAGAGAGACGATTATCTTGTCCACCTACCTGACTTTATAGCTAAGGAACTAGAGACCTGAGAGAGAAGAAGTGACTTGCCCAAGGTTAGGCAGCAACAATGTATCCATTTGGAACATGGGCTCCTCCTTCAACCTATTTCCTTTATACCAGCCTCCCTCAGTTTGCCCACCTACAAGAGGAGATGGAGGATATAGGGCATTGCTAACTTCCGCTGATCCCCGAGCGCCTGCTCTCTGCGGGCACTGGGCTGGCAAAATCCTCCTGAATCAAAGTTTTTCCCTGTTGAGGAGGCAGCAGATAGGCCCTTGGGAGCGTAGAGACTTGCTCCCCATCCTTGATGCCCCCAACAGTCCCCGTCCTCCCCCTAAGCCCAGGTGGCAGCTCCTGCCAGTGCCTCTGTGTCAGCCCCACTTTCTTGCTCCTTTCCTGTGCGGACAGGTGCTGGGGAGACGCCCCAAGGTGCCACGTGCGAACTGACGCCAATCAGAGCGTGGTGAGGGGTGGCGGCACCCAGAGCGGCAGGGCAGGGAGCCGAAGGGTGACCGCAGCCGTGCCTGAGAGACAGCCAAGCGACAGTCGATAAAAACCAAGTTCTTTATCAAGTCAGAACCACCGTTTAGAGGCCTGACACCATTCTGTGGCTTCCTGGTGCATTTAAGACCAAGTCCCACATCCTCACTGGGCCTCCCATGGCTCAGCCGGGGCCCCTTCTCTCCCCTCTCTCACATACTTCAAACACACTGACCTCTTCAGCTCTTAACATTTGCAACGAGCTCATCCCCCTACGGGGTCTTTCTATATACTGTTTCTTCGACCTAGAATGTTCTCCCTACACCCTTTGCCTAGCCAACTTGTGATCAAGTCTTGGCTTAAATGCCACATCCCCAGAGGCCTCTCTTCACCACCCCGCCCCTGCCCCCAGCCTCCATTTAAACTGGGGCTCCTTGCTATACAACCTCACACCACTGCTTTTCTCCTTGATAGCGCATATCAAAGTACGTAACTAGATTATTAGTTGGTCGTGTCTTACCCTAAACTGTAAGCTCCAAGAAAGCAGAGACTGTGTCTGTTCTGTCGAATGAATGGGCTCCAAGGTGCTGCTATCCCCCACCCTGCTGTCCACCTCCGGGAGGCGCCCTCGGGTGCCGGCCGACCAGCCTGACGTGATTCTGGTGGGAGTTCAGGCTGACGCCTGTCCAACTCCCCTCCCATCCATCGCTTTCTCTGCTGTGGCCTTCTCACCTTCCCCGTTAATTGTACGGAAGCATTTTTGCTTGCTTCTCTGTGACGGTATTAGAGGAAATAATCCTGCCTGGAACTAAGACAGTTTACCTTCATGGGAGCTGGAGAAGGGGCTCAGACACAGCAGGGCACCCTTCGCTAGCCTCCTGCCCGCCCCGCTGAGCTTCAGCTCTGCCTGGCTTTTCGGAGAGGATTATTTTCCTCTCCACTCAACATCAAAGGCCTGAGGGCTATTTACATATGGTGCGGCTTTGCTGTAAACTTGGACCAAGACTCAGCTCTCCCTCCCTACTTCAGGGCATAATGATGTGTAAGAGTAACACACGCTTCAAATTTATGCCTCATCGCCCCCAGTCAGAAAAGAATTTATTTAAGTCCAGACTGTTAGGTGGAGCTCCAGACTGTTTGGTGGAGCTCGCTGCTTCTTCAAACCTGCCATTC